TATGCACTGTTTCGTTAGGAGTTTTAAAGGAAAATCATAAGACAATGTTTGAACCATGTCTGTCGCTTAGCAAAGAACACGCCATAGATGGCCTTAAGTTGGGTACGGTTAATAAGTTTTTCTTTGAATTTGAAAAAATGTTCTTACCTGATGATTGGCGAGGAATTGATTGCTTGTGGCGAGATGAGGATCTTGAAATATTACGAGAAACGGAGTACTTTTGGATGGAAGGTATTTCTGGATTCTACGGTGTAGCATATCAGCCCCGTATTCTGTGTGGTTGGATTGTCGGTCGCCATGCTCGCTACGTGGAAACGTTAGCCGAAGAAGATGTTCTAAAAGCCTTAATGTGGATGTTAAGGAAATTCTTAAAATTCCCGGTACCAGATCCAATAAAGTTCATTCGCACTCAATGGTACACAAATAGTAATTTTCGGGGCACTTACAGCTATCGTACCCTATATGCTGATGAGTTGCGTACGGGAGCTTGGGATCTAGCGAAACCTACGACAGATGACGATGACAAACCCATTGTGCAATTTGCTGGCGAAGCGACTCATAATCATTATTTTGGTACTGTTCATGGTGCTATCGAGACTGGCTGGCGGGAAGCAGATCGTTTAATTAATTACTACGAAAAGAAGAAGACCTCGAATTGAATTTCTGAAAAAATACGAAACAAAATTGACACACATTGTTTTTTTAACGAATAAATAAAGCATACATAAGAAAAGCAAATTGTTATAGGCGATCTAGTGATTTAGATGAATTCAAATTTGGAATCGAACTTTTAAAAAATAACTGTTCTTAAATATATAAGTACTGCTGATCTCTCTGCTTTTTTAACATCGCTAGCAGACCGGCTAAAAGGAATTCATTTAACAATGAAATATTTATTAAAAAAAAAAAAAAAAAAAAAAAACAAGTGATAAAGTTATACTCGGCAGGGGTCGAATCTCGCATACCCACCACTATGTTTTTCGACTTTTACTCTCCAAATTCTTCTCTTGAATTGATACCCACATCGCTGGTACTATTTACAAAAAATTAATCGCTTTGTTTACCAAATTCATTTTAAAAGGAACCCATTTTTAGGCAGATAATGTATCTTCATTGAAGGATTGTACAAATAGCTTTAAATATTCGGTCTTGTTTGCCTCATCACAAATAAGCATAAAATCTTAAAAAAGTGAAAAAAAAACAGAATTAAGAAGTAATTAACTTGCAATTTTGTGTGGGCGTGGCGGAAGTTTTTCATTTTTGCACGTAGGGCGTAGAGTGCTTCGCAAAGTAAATGTGGAAAATTTCACCCTTTAAACTTTTGTAATTTCTGAGTGACGAGCAAAACCAATAAACTTTTCTTAAGATGAATAGAGTTGCGTGCAGTTTATGCTCTCCTGCCGACTTCTGCTCTGACCAAGTTGCCTGATTTTCAATACCAACCTGCGCGCAGAAACTTCTATTTCTATAAAATTTGAAGTTGATATCTTTATTTTTGCGACCAGGAGACTGCCAAGAAAACATACCACACAGACACACAGACGGACCGACACGTCTTGAACAATTCGGAATTGCACGATGATCAAGAATATATATACCTTATAGGGTCGCTGAAGCTTCCTTTGGGTGCAACATATATTATGGGAAAAAAACAAGATGTGTATACCCCATACCATCTTACAGTGGTGGGTATAAACAAAAAAGCGAAATATGATGGAATAATAGTAAAACAGATTTGAATAAAATTAATAAAGAAATATAAAGAAAAAACTAAAA